CCTCGCCTCCTAATACCATTACATTGGGGGTTAGGGTTTAAACACAAACTTGGGGAGACATAGACATTCAGTCCATTGCACACACTCACACACATATACACACACACAAAATGTTCCTAAACTAGAATTACCAAGGAAGTACTTCGATTAAAGCACAAATATTTCCTGGATTAAGTAAAATATGATATGATACAGTAATAGAATTTTGTGTGTGTAAAAAAGATTAAATATTTTGATACCAGCATTGTCCTGATTCCTACAGATAAAAGTTTAAGAAATACAACATAGAACTGGCATTTTTCAATCAGGTATATAATTACACATAAAAAAGTATCAAGTTCATAATTCTATTAATGAAGAAGATTTAGTCACAGCAACACGTTATTACTAAAGACATTATTACCAAAGGTAGAAGAAATATATATGGGACAGAAATGCACTCTATTCTTTGTCGAGTTGAAGGAGGGCTACCATGTTTCCACAGAATACTCTGTTTCCTCACAGGGAAAATGGGGACAATCATGTATCTCCCTCTTAGCTTTGTTGGAAGATTAAGTTAAACAACGTGTATTTCAAAAGCCAACACAGAGAGCCTGCCATTGATTAGTGCTGATAAATAGTATTTTCCCTCCTCTCCTGGAGGCCACTCCAGGACTTAGTGATGTGAGGGCATACCCAACCACAGCCTTTTGCTTAAGGAAAAGGGCTTTGGGATGTGGGTCTGAAAGATGACACAGAGTTGGGGCCCAGTCTCTATTTGCAGTGTCTGCCACTACCTCCTCATGAGCCTACAGAGTGGCCCTGAGAAGAGCAGAACTTTGGTTCAACAAACTCTCAACCAGGACAGCTCTGTAACTACAGAAGACCAATTAACTGCCTTAGCTCTGAGCTCTGTGTAAACCTACCATTCTTATAATTTGTGAATGTGCAAAGGGGAGAACTTTATTATCATTTTCACAAATTATTATCCTGTTACTTATGGGCAGGTAGGACACTTCCAGATTACTTAAGCAGATAAAAATAATCCCGTGGCTGCAAAAGAATGCAAAATTTTTAAAGACTAGGTTGGGAAGTGATTAAAGCAAGATTCCAAAACTGAAAATTAGAAGAAAAATAGTTCCTCAGTCTCTGAAAAACAAATCAGTAAGAATAAAATATATTTGGACTATTTATAGACTTAGAAATTATAGTTCACTCCTCTAGTTGTGGGTCTTTTAGAATCCAGGCTCTAGTTCCTCAGTGAACACAAAGGTTAACTAATCTATGAGTTTTATATGCAAGGAGGTCTTTTCTTCTGAGTAGTTTGCCTCACTGTATACTAGTTGGGCTATATCTACACAGGTACAAGCTTCATTACTTGACCCAGGATGGTGGACTAGCCGGGCCTTATTAGTGAAACAGTAGATGTTAAAAATTCTTTCCCTGTAGGAAAAACATTTGGGGGATGTTGAAGTTTTAAAAATAACTGTTTCCAGAAAAATGCCATTTTTTTGATGATTTCCTCATCATCTCCATTGACAATTCTATAGCATTTCAGAAAATAAATCTACAGACTAGAATAATCTTTGGCTATGAGGAAACAATGTTTTAATAGCTCTATTAAATATCATAATGAATGTTTTTTGAATCTATTTGTTATTTTTCTATAACCTCTTCTGTTAATGTTGGTTTCCAAAGGTTTAGTACTGTATTCCTCTTAATGAACAAACAAAGAAATTAGAGTCTGTAAAGATTTTTCTTACTTCCACTTTTAATGAATTTTCATTTGCACTTCTTTTAAGATTGAATCCTTTGATCCTTTATAACTTAAATAATGTTTTGATAGATTATTCTTATAGTACTAGTTTAGAACCTTAAGGAAGACATTTATTAGCATTTAGCATTTTAACATGACTTTTCCCCTATGACTGTCAATCAAATTGATACTATAAAAATATTCAAACCAATTGGCAACTCATTTCTGAACACACTTAGCAAACATTTCATTTTGGAACCAAGAGGTCACTATGGTAGTTACTGAGCCTCTAATTTCAACGTTACTTAAGACCATACTGGAATACATGGCCACTCTTTTCTTAAGAACTTCCAGAGAAAGTCGTAGAATTTCCTCCAGAAGTGCATTTGAGACTCTCACAACTGAAGACCGTGCATTCATGGCAACAAAAGCAAATGGATATTGATACAGGATAAATGATTAGTAAGACTAAGAACTGTACACTCCAGCTGGAAGGATATATAACTGCACAATCAGCTACACACAAAAATAATTTGTCATTACAAGATTCTTTGATTCACTTATTTTTTTTTTCTTTTTTGTGAGGAAGATTAGCCCTGAGCTAACATCCAATGCCAATCCTCCTCTTTTTGCCAAGGACGATTGGCCCTGGGCTAACATCCATGCCCATCTTCCTCTACTTTATATGGGACGCTGCCACAGTATGACTTGACAAACGGTGCATCGGTGCGCGCCCGGGATCCGAACCTGCGAACCCAGGGCCACCACAGCTGAGTGCGCACACTTAACCGCTATGCCACCAGGCCAGCCCCATGATTCACTTATTCTTTTAGTAAATATGTATGAATAAATTGAGTGAATAAATGAGTGCAAGAATGCCTAGGATGTGCTAGCTACTGCACACCATCTATCCTGGACGTATGGCAAGTAGGAAAAACATGGTTCCTGCCCTCATGACAGCTACAGTCTAGCAGAGGAGAAAAACATAATACAAAGAATCACATAAATAAATATCTAATTAAATTTCAATTATAATATTGTTGGTGAGTTGCTCTGATTGTCATAGTGGTTTTTTTTTCTCCATGTGAAAACTAAAAAGTCCAGGAAATAATTTTTCACATGTAAAAGCTGGAAATAGTTTCTTCTCTGACAACCTACCTCCTGTGATGTGAGCCCATTTACTCATTCTCTAGGGGGAAGCAGGAAGTACTTGTGTCATAGTGACCCCACCTTTTACCTTTCACATCCAATTAGGTACCACAGCTTATTGATTTTACTATCCAAACACATCTTATTTCATCCCCTCTCCTCTATTTCCATATCCAAAAGCATAGTCCTAGTTCTCTGGTCCTCTTACCCAAATTATTTTAATAGACTCCTGGAATCACACAAGAATAGCAGAATATTAAAGTAGGAAAAGACACTGAAGATCATTCTTCAAATAAGGAAACTGAGGCTTAGAGAGGCAAATGTCTCACCCAGGACCCCACAATTCAGCCTAGCCATTTATTTTTCTGTAGAGCAGCCATGGAAGACACTATGGTTGCCTGCTTACAGTCCTTCCCACCCCCTTCTTCCTTGTTAGAAAATCCCCTTCCCATGATAGGAACCAAAAATGACAAACACTTGCTTTCCTAGGGATGGCCGAGTGACACAGTTATGGCCACCGAGATGTAAAGGGAAGTCTGGTGGCTGGTTTCTGGGAAAGAGTTTGCTTCCAACAAAAAGAGAACTCAAGAAGAGCCACCACCACCGCCCTCCTCTTTCTTTCTGTCTTTGGAACTGAACAACAGCAGCCTGAGGACAGAAAGCCAACATCTGAGGATGGAGGATCAGAAGAATGGAAAGCACTTGGGGCCCTCATCTGTAAGTCCCGAGCTAACTCTGGGACCACCTACTTGCAGACTCTTATAACAAGAGATTGATTAAAGTCTTTCCTACTTACAACTTTATGTCATGTATTCTGTTACTTGCTGAGTTTCCCCCGAATGGACCCTGCTTTATTTGTTTCTTTATTTTCCATCTACCCCACTAAGCTCCACAAGAGCAAGGAATTGGCTTATTTTTTCCATTTCCCATATTCCCAGTTCCTAGAATACAGTCTGGCACAGAGTCAGCCCTAGAAAAATATTTGTTGAATGAATGAATGCCCCCAAATTTTCATTGGATCTCTACTTTTACAAAATAAAGTCCAAAGAATTAATCTGGCATTCAAGGCCCTTCATGATCTGGCCCCAATCCATCTTTCCAGCTTTATCTTTTACCTTCACACACGCTACAACTTAGGAAAACTGGACTATTTCCTGTCCTCTGAAACGCTCTCTGCTTTACTGAGGCAAGGCTTCAGCTCACAATGTTCCTTCCGCAGTATATGCTCCTCCTCCTCCACCTCCATACTTTTCTCTCATTCTTCAAGCCCCAGATCTTCTCCCATAGCACTTGCTCTGATACTTTCCAGTATAAATATCTTTTCTATGTTCCCTTCTCTTTTGCGCTATTTATCACTTTTAAACATTTATGATAATTATTTGGTGTGCTCATCTCTCTTAGACTATAAGCTCCTTGAGGATAGGAAATTCACCTTCCCAAGAAACAAATATAATGCTCTGCCCCAGTAGGTACATAGTAAACTTTTCTTTGTGATGAAGAAATAAATAATACTAAAGTGAGCCCGTTTTAAAAATAATTTGGACCCAGGAATTGGTGCTGACTCTCATGGAAGCAAAGGTCTGAATGAATTGCAGGAGAGGAAAGAAAGGAGGGAAAGAGAAAACTTGTCGGAAGTGTCAGGAGCAAGCACTGATGCTTTTTCTCCTGCCGATGACAGCAAAGTTCTTAATGGAAGATGATCCCAATCAATAGAGCCAGACAGCTGATTTATATAATGGAATCAAGCCGAAGTAGTGGTCTTCCTCCGCAGAGCGATGTGAAAGGGGAAAAGGCTACCAGACTAGAATAACCAGGGGACTCCACAAGTCTATCTGCTGGTGTTCATAAATATGTTCCCCATCAACAAACCACAGGAGAGCTCCAGAGAGCAGCATACTTGAGCTTGGATGCTGAAGACTGGCTAGTGCTGCTGCTGTATTCTGGCTGTTGCTGCCGCTGCTGCCACTGGGTAGATACCGCAGTGAGGGGTCTGACCGCGCTGAGTGCACTCGGGTGCCTGGGTCTGCCTAGGATGAGAAGTTAAGAGAGTGAGGGCTGGGAGGAGGGCAGGACTCACCAAGCAGCTGCAAACCAGAACAAGAAATCTAGGGAGCACAAGGAGAGCAAGGGTGAGCTTGAACCCAGATATCAGGCCAAGTGGAACTGGAGGAAATGTCATCATTGGTAAAGGAGGACTTGGAGAAGAAACTGTTTAAGCCACTCTCACAGAATCTGTACGAGTTTATTGAAATAGAGTTCTCGGTCCAGGACAGGTATTACCTCTGTGTGTCAGGTAATCTGTTCTTTCTGTTATCATTTCAAAATGTAAATAACGCCGAGATGCTTGAGTGATAGAGGGACATTTTCTTGTATTTATTTTCCTATACAATAACAGCCCGTGTATCCTCCTGCAACAGAGCTTAACTATGCTAAGTTTAAGAATTTGGCTTCTACAGATTTTTTTTTTAAGTGCTAAAATGGAGGACAGAAAAAAATATTGTCTAAGAATATTTCGGTTAATTGTTCAGAAGTGAAACTGGGTACGTACTTTTCCTGGTTTGATTATTTTGTCTCCAATCTTTTATTTAATTCACTTGCATGGCATGCGATTTTATTGTGTAAAAGCTCATTTTAAAAAATTCAACAGAGAGCTCTCTGTATATTTTTAAATACATTGGAGAATTGAGTTATACGGCTCTATTTCCAGCCAGTCTCCCTTTTCACGCTAGGAAACAAAAAAGACCTTAGATTTTCTTCCCAGGGCTTATTTAGACTTCCTGGTAGTTTATTTTGAAAAGAGAAATGATCTTTTAAAAATTCTCTTATAGGAAGTATGTTCACAGAAACAAAACTTTAATGGCAAAAATTAGTTCATGAAGATGGAACTTTAAGGATAAGGGGATGCTCTTTAAACTATTGAACTAAAATAAAGATTTTCTGTCATGTTTTTAAAATTCACGAAAATTGTCTAAAGGTATGAATAGGCTTTTGCATCAGTTATGATTTGCCTAACTTGTAGTTTTTGTGCTGAATTTAGACAGAAATGCTTGTGCCATTATTGAATTTAATATACAGCATTCCCTTTTCCCAATCTATGCCTGCTAATACGTAGGAGGAAAGAGCTTAGAAACTCTAAATATTCATTGTGGACTTTCCTTTTAAGGCACACACCTCAGCATTTTCAAAAAACAACTTGTAATTCCCTTCCTGATAATTGGCTTAGAAAGACTTTCTAAAGTTGTCAAGAGGGAGTTCTATAAGGAAAGTAGAACATCTTTAAAGAAAGTGCTAAGAAATCTTTAAACTTCTATAATTCCTAAGTATAGGAATATCTACTTAATAATAAGAATACTAATATTTAATACTTTACCTAGCATATTTTGCTATGTAAATACAAAATGTGGGGACTTGGCATATCAGCAAGGTAAGAAACTTAATTGGCCTAGGAAAAAAAAAGAAATCAAATTATGGAAAACGGTTAAATGAAATAATTTTAGAAACTGTATTATATTCTAACCATCAAATCACTATATCTTAAAGTATTTTGACAATATATTAGAAAAAATGCTTATTTCAACATTAACATTTAATAATTTTCTACCTATTGTGAGGGCCGGCCCCATGGTGTAGCAGTTAAGTGCACGTACTCCACTGCTGGCAGCCGGGGTTTGGATCCTGGGCGTACACCAATGCACCGCTTGTTAAGCCATGCTGTGGCGGCGTCCCATATAAAGTACAGGAAGATGGGCATGGATGTTAGCCCAGGGCCAATCTTTCTCAAGCAAAAAAAAAAAGCGGAGGGTTGGCATCGGATGTTAGCTCAGGGCTAGTCCTCCTCACAAAAAAAAAATAATAATAATTTTATACCTATTGTGATCCTACTCTATAAAGCTAATTACTCATCATGTAACATGAGTATTCAAGTAATTTTAAAGAAAAACTTATCAACAACAAAATAATCACAGTAATGTATATACCTAATTTACCAAATACATCTTAATACCTCCCTCCCACTATATAATTAACTAAACTTGTTCTATCTGGCATGAAAAAAAAAGTCTCGTAGAACTAAATTTTTGGAAATGGATATGATTTTTTTTTTCTGGTATCCTCAAATACCGAGAAAAACACTGCAGGCTGGGGTCACCTGTTGTCTTTTTTCATAAATGACATGAACCCTTTTAACTAGAATTCATTGTTAACACGTGCAAAGTCAATTTCTTTAAGGTTCCATTTTCTTATCTGAAAAATGACCAAGTAAAGTAGGTGATCATTTTCAACAGTAAAATTCAATGATTCTATCACGTAAGAAGCAAGGAAAAAATAAGTTTCTCTCCGAGATAAGGAAGAGAAGGTAATATTGTGATATTCCAGATAAAAGTTAACATTATAAGTCATATTAGTTCACTAATTTTTCACAACTCTCCTCTATATCACATCCATCGATTTGAGAGCACTTTCCCCAAAGGTAACACTTCTTTATGACCATTTCAAATACATGTAGACAGAACAGTAATTTAAAATAAAGTCAATGTGAGGCTTGATGGTCCTAAATCTTTGACCATGTTTTACTCAGAAAATTTCCATTGATATGAATCAAACAGGTCATATCACAGTTGTGGAGGCAGGTAACTCCAGATTTTGCATGCTGGCCACCTTCAACTAGTAGAGAGACACATAGTTATGATTTCCTCTTTATATCCTACAATCTTTATATCCTACAGTAGTTCTAAATTTGTGAGAATCTCAGGTCTAGAATAATCAAATTCCATCATGCATTTTTCACATTAAAGAAGATATGTTTAAATAAGTTAAACTTTCTATTTATCTGATCAGAGTCTCTTTTGCAGGAGTCTCACAATCAGATGGTTGTGGTTTACTGTTATCTTGATGATTTACCTGGTTGATGTCAAAAATCAGATGTCACAAACACAATCTCCCTCTCTGTAGTTTGCTAGCATTTACACTGGGGATTTCCTGGCACCTCAGTCTCCTCCCACCCCAGAGTTTGCATGGTCATTTCTCCTAGGAATTAGCCTCCCCAGTCTAGAACATCATTATCAGTGGCAGTTAAAAGCAGCCTCTTCTTCTGAAGGAGGGAAGAGCTCGATTATGTACAGGCACTAAAAAGGGATAAGTCACTTGTGCAATGATGAGAGTGCAAATGAATTAAAGAAATTCTGAAGGACTTGAAATAACATGTGAAGCATTAGCCAAAATTGAATGGGAAGTAGCAGGGCATGGTGGAATGGACTTTTGGAATGCTTGGAATCAGACAGACGGGTATGAAACCTGGCTCTGCTCTGCCTACCTGCCAGCTGTGAAATTTGGGGCAAGACAATTAACCTCTCTGGCCTCAGTACTGACACCTCTGAAATGGAAATAATAACACCTACATCTGCACATAGTGCTGTCCTGTTAAATCCTAACAAGGAAAAAACCAAACAGGATAAATTATATTCCAAATAAATAAAATAAAAGGTAGGGTTATATTTTTAAAATATATTTACTGTGAAAACATGCCAAAATATATATGTATAAATAGTAAATATTGTAAATAAATATTTGTAATAAAAATAAAATATACAGTAAACATATATAAGTATGTATAATATATATATATTTTGTGTGTGTGTGTGTGTGAGGAAGATCAGCCCTGAGCTAACATCCATGCTAATCCTCCTCTTTTTGCTGAGGAAGACCGGCCCTGAGCTAACATCTATTGCCAATCCTCCTCCTTTTTTTTCCCCAAAGCCCCAGTAGATAGTTGTATGTCATAGTTGCACATCCTTCTAGTTGCTGTATGTGGGACGCGGCCTCAGCATGGCCGGACAAGCAGTGCGTCGGTGCGCACCCGGGATCCGAACCCGGGCCGCCAGTAGTGGAGCGCGCGCACTTAACCACTAAGCCACTGGCCGGCCCCAGTATGTATAACGTATAATGAAGAATTTATACATTATATATTTTATCAATAAAAATTGTATACATTTTCAGATACAGATTATTTTTAAATATTCTCAGATATTTAGAAAAACATTTTCCATTTGTAGATATTAATTTGAAAATAAACGGCATTTGCTAGAATTACAAAAATAATATACATAAATTCTCCATGCATGTTACACTTTGATGCTGGAATGGAACTTATTCTCTGTGAACCAGAGAATCGAAGTTTGTCAGATCATTTACAATAAGAATGTGAACAATGAGAGTGTTAAATAAGAGTAGGTTAACAAGAAAAAGAAACTAAATACCAGTGACTGGATGGCCTTTTAAACAACAAACATTTATTTCTCATAAGCAGTTCTGGAGGCTGGGAAGTCCAAGATCATAGCGTGGCAGATTGGTGTCTGGTGAGGACCTACTTCCTCATAGACAGCCGTCTTCTCCCTGTAACCTGGCGTGGCAGGAGGGGCAAGGGATCTCTCTGCGGTCTTTTCTTTTCTTTTTTTTTTCTGGGGTCTTTTCGTGAGAGCACTAATCCCATTCACGAAGACTCTGCCCTCATGACATAATCGCCTCCCAAAGGCCCCTCCTCCTAATACCATCATCTTGGGGGTTAGGATTTCAGCATATGAATTTTTGGGGGACACAAGCATTCAATCTGTAGTACCCAGTATAGGGTACCCAAAATTTGACTTTATAAAAATATTTCTAGAAAAGTATTATTTGAAAATTACTTTTTTGATGAATCAATAATAGTCTTAACAACTCCAAGACATCGATACACTGTAACATTTTCGCTGCGGCTTCTTATCTTTGCTATCTCACGGTAATTTTTTCCTATCATTTAATCTCAATGACGAAAACAATTGTATAACACTAGGATCGTAAAGTAACAGTCGTTTATTTATTTAAAGCATTTCTGTGCAGCTTACTGGTGAGTTACTGTTTTTCCTATATTCTGCCAAATTGTATTGGTTCAATTGGCCAATCTTCTTTCCATTTAGCCTCATGAATAATAGTGACTGTTTTACCATGGTAATAGAGGCCGTTCTTAATGACAATGTTTATTTTGAAATTAAAAATGAAAATAAATAGTTGGCATGAAGTTAAGATTGTAATTCTGAAAATGCTAACTAAAATATTAAAACTGGAGCAGGTTCATTCTGAAATTCCCTGGGTCTATAGATATTACTAAATAAAAATTACATAATGGAACCTCTGATGTTACTGAAACCAACTCTCTAACATTTTGACTCTATAAACACATTTCTGTTTTAAGACAATGTGATAAGTTTCCACTTTCACTGCATTAATGTGGATGTGGCCATTTAATTTTAGCTGGCAGCAGAGCTCAAGCATGGAAATCAGGGATTGGGCCCACTCCAGCCTGAGTAGACTTCTTTGGCTCTTGGCTAAAGACAGTTCTTGGAGCCTCCTTGGCTCCAGAGGAGGCTATTTCACCAAATTAAGGAGGCTGTACTGTCTCTGTGCTACATCATTGTATCAAAAAGTTAACTTTTAAAGCATGCTTTTTAATTTTCTTAGTTTGGTGTTAGTGGGACAGTGACCATTAATACAAGAAAACTTGATAACTGGTAGATCCTACCTTCTAACCATCTCTTTCTCCATCCACCCCCAGCCCCCTAACCCCAACCAATCATTTATGGAACTGCTCAAGCAAACTTTCTAAAAATTAAAGCTCAACCTGTCTATTCACTTAAAATCCATCAGTGACAACTCTCCCTCCCAACCCCCTTCCTCCACATAGCTTTCAGGATAACATCTGAACTCCTTAGCCTAGCATTCTAGACTTTTTTTAGCTCCTGCCCAACCTGCTTCCTATCTCACACTTCATTTCAACAGTTCCAGATACTTGTAATGACTCAGAAGTGTCAAGTATTTCATGGTTTTGTACACATGCTGTTCCAGAACTCCCTTTACTACCTTCTTCATTCTGCTAACTACCACTGCCCTGTACAACTCCTTCAGGAAGCTCTTTCCGACGCCTGGTCAGATGAAGCTGTTCCCCAGTCCATGTTCCTGTTTACCCTGTCCTGCCTCATTCACTGGTCTGTGATCATAAGTTTTCTTTCTGAAGCCCCCTCTACCTGTAATCTCAGTGAGAGAAGGAATGGTGTCTTATGGGAATTCATTTTTTCAATGGCTAGCACAGGGCTTTATGCAAAAGGGGCACTCAAATATTTATCAAATTAATGAAATGAACCAGTGGGCCTACAGTGAATTAGCTGGTTATCATAACATGTAAATGAGGCAGTGGACTTTGGTTCAAATTACATCTTCCTACAGTACCCAGTTATTTCCATATCTCTCCATCCCCATTCTCTCCCACCCCCTAAGTAGCTAGTGAGACAGCTAACCAGAAGAACATTGTCCTCTAAGGTACAGTCTTTGTCTGGACCAACACGACTGATTCCTAGTGGAAAGAACTGCCTCCAAGATCTTGTCCTTAGTAAGTATGACAGAATCAACTATGCCTCCACTTCAGCACACCAGCCTAATGGCTTCTCATCTAATCCCTTCCTCTTCCCAAAGCTAACATCTAGACTGGCGGAGACGGACTTTTTTAGGGCTGTGTACATGGTCAGAAAGCTACCAACTTTTGCACACAATTTCAGGAGGCTCATAGACTCTGAGCCAGTTTATTGACCCCAGGTTAAGATCTTCTGCTCTAGTTCCTCCCCAGAACACACCCCTCAATCACTCCCTCTGTCCCCAAAATATGCAGTCTCTCCTCTTCCAAACTCTTGGAATATGTGGTCTAAATCACAGCCTTTAGTCTCTCTTGCTATTTCTTTTTTTAATCCTACCTGACCCAGGAACTGGCAGAGTATGCACTCAGTATTAGTTAGTGCATGAAGGAGTCCTCTACAAGCTATCTTCTGCCCTCATCATTCTAGAGAAACTGCCCTCAGGAAAGAAATCAATGATCTTCCCCAAGTCAGATTCAGTGCCAGGACTGAACTCTGCTTTACCCAACAAAATGACTTCATGGGATTGTCTCCAAATCTTTGAAATTGTCTGTCTTCTTGATTTCTATAGCATTGCACTGTTGAACTTGTCTCTTTTCTGATGGCCCCTTCTCCGACCTCTCTGCTGGCACCTCTTTCTTCTCCATTCTGTCTCATCTCACACCTCTTCTCTTTTCCCTATAAACCTAATCTTATAACTGTATCCACACAGAAAAATCCCAAGTCCATATCTCCATTCCTAAACTATAACAGGCCATCTCCTTCTCTTCTGAGACAGCTTGTGGACACCTCATCTGTTGCCAAAAACTAAACTCATTATTCCACCCACCCAGCTCACCCCCCATACTTTCCTATTTTGGTTTCTATCCAGTGTTATTTCCATCCAGTGTTGTCAATGCCGCATTTGAAATCTTACTTAGATTTTCCACTTCTATTTCCATTGCCCACATCCTATGCCTAGGTTACAGCAGCCTCTTAAACAAAATGAAGTACTTTAACAATTACTATAAACCAGGCACTATCTAAGTCATTTATATAGTTTATCTACTTTAATCTTTACACCCTATGATTTTGTTTCACTCTGATGTCCACTTTACAACATGAGAAAACTGAGGTTTAATCTCTCTAGATATTACATAATTTACTCAGACCACACTGTAAGAGGTAGTCATGATTTGAATCCAGACTGTCTAATACCAGAGCCCACTAAGCTGCACTGCCTCTTCCAGGGTCCTCCAGTTCCTCTTTCTTTTCTTCTTCAATGTATCCTGTGCATCACTGCTTCCAGAAAAATACTTCTTTAATAGGGTGCCATTTTATCAGACTCCTGTCCAAGGAGGGAGGAGACTTAATGAATATATATTTCTATATGAGCTTTCACTGAACACCTGACACAGTGCCCTGTTCTTAGATTTGTCAACCTGCTCAGACTCCCTTCTCTAGGGGACTGAACTCAGCTCCATCATCAACGTTTAAGCTTAACTGGTCGCCTTAATTTTGGCATCACCTGCACCTTCAGAGGATAATTACTCCCTTCACCAGCTCCAATTCTGTAGCCTTCACTGTCCGGGCCAGCCTCCCATCCCTCCCACCAGGAGGGGGATCCAAACATCACAAGTCCACAGCGGTGTCTGTCACTGAAAACATTTCACCACCTTCTCAAACTAGTTAATCCTATTGCCCACCATATCCTAACACCAACGAATCCATACAGTGTACTTTCTTTCATTCTCCCTGGTGCCGTTCAGCTTCTATTGTCCATTCATTTCCTCATGCTGTCCTGCATCTAGAAATGCCTTCAGTATCATACTTGCCTTTCCAAACTGGACTAATTTCAAAGCCCCATCTCAAATTCTATTTCTTCATAATTCCTTTCTTAACTTCCAATCCTCTCCCTTCTCAGAACTCCTGTTGAACCTACAGTCTGCTCCACATTGCTTATTATTCAGTATGATTATATTGTAATATATTGCTTATATCTTCTGGACTAGGAGGGCATGCCAAAGTGGTACTTTCCAGAACCAAAAGAGAGTCTTCCCCAAAGACAAATTCCAGTCTCACTCTTAGAAATCAGAACTAGCTTACAACTCTCTAAGTGACATCACCCATCTTGAAGAAAGTTTAAGACATTCACTTGCCACCTGCCACCTCTTTATAATATACGTATATTCCTTTATAATACATATTTTATGTGACTCGTGTGTTAGCCTATTTCCTCAACAAAACCATAAGTTTCTAGAGGGCAGGGACCATGTCTCATATTTGTACCCTGTGGCATCTATAATAGTTCTATCAGGCAAATAGTGAATATTCAGTAAATATTTCCTTATTAATTCATTGAAAATTTTCAATCCAGGAGCTCTAACATCAAATGTTGATTCTTTGGATGTGTTCATATGAGACCAAAGACAATGATTTTAAGGCCAGGAAATTGTTTCCCTCATTTTGTTCACATAAAATAAGCAATGATTTTCCCACATCATTCAAAATATAGCACTAAAACTTTTTGTCTCAGAGGCACATTTTGAATACTAGAATTTTGCAGACACACTAGAAAGGATTAAAAATCTCAAACAATACCAAAAAGGTCAACAGTAGCTGTGATGAAAGCCCTTCTATGTCACACATCCCACAGCAACTTTAAAAGAAAGCGTACACAGTAGTATTTGCATGGTCACTCTTCAACACCGTGTTGCTGTGTGAGCAGAACTGTTTACTTTCCTGACCTCACTTTCTTATATTGTCATAAATTAAAATTCCAACTTGTTCTGGTAAACACTTTGGCACTGACTGCATGCTAACGCTAAGCCTCTTATTTCCTGCCCCAAGTTGAACCCCATTCTCCACCACAAAGCTCGTAGCTGAAAGCACATAGCTAGATGTTCTATCTGACAGACATTACTGTAGCAATATGTAACCACAACTGTAGCAAAAATAAAGTTAACACATTGAGTAAATTTGGAGGCATCCTCATGAAGATTCAGATAGATCATGGCTCATAATTGGGGTGCACATATAATGTAGGTTCAAGCTCATTATATGAAAAGGAGATACATAAATACTGAAAAGTATAACAATGAATAATTTATCATCTTCTAAGAGTTTATGTAAACTAAGTGTTTTTCTGTCTTACAGTGACCAAAAATGAAGAAGTAAAAATAATTATGGTGAAACACTACAGAATAGGTTTAGAGGAAAAATATGAAGTAACAAAAAAGTGGTCTTTGAACGATCTGCAGATGATTGATGGAAAAGAAGCAGATACCGTAAGTGTTATGTTTTGTAAGGGAGATGTGGGATCAATATGCTGGAGATCTTTATGTTCAATATCCTACTTTGTATATTCTTGGCATGAACTGTGTTAAGATGATATATTGTTCTTAAGTGGTACGGTTTAATCTATCAGGATGATCTACCGGTTTCTTTGTTCTGTTTTTATGAGTTTAGATTTGAATTTTGTCTATTAAATTTAAAAGCATCTTTCCCAAGGCTTCTTAACAGGTTAAACACAATCTCCCAGTCAATCCTGAAACTTTAAATAGATGATGCTTCCGCCACCATTCTCTCCCCACCCCAATTTCTTCTGTAAGTTTTGGGGATTCCTTCTCTTATCATCTTCAAATGTTACTCTCAGTTAGCCACCTGATCCTCCAGAAGGATCGATAATTCTTGGAAATCCTACAACCTTGGAGTTGAAAGGGGGGAAAGTGTGTATACTCCAATCTCTCCACTTGACCACTTGACAAGTGGTTTTCCCGGTCTCTCCTTGAATTCTTCTACTGATGGAGAACTCATTACTGCATGAGGAAGTTCATTCCATTTCTGTATTGCCATACTTTATTTTTAAATTTCCTGCTTATGTTTAACCAAAATCTGCTTCACTATAACATCCACCCATCAGTCCTGGTTTTGCCATTTGGAGCAACCCAGAACAAATTCAATCCCCCTTTTACATAGCAGCCTTTCCAATATTTGAAGACGATTATAATATTCCTTCAAGTTTTCTCTCTTCTGGGTTAAATACAGTACTTTAGAATTAGTGTGACTAGTTGGTATTTCCTTTGATATGGATTCCTTCTTTCTATTAAACACTTAACTGAAACCTCAGCTCTTTTGTGCATGAATTGCCATTGAACATGATCTGCCATACCCTCCACTTACACAGAATAAAATCTAAATAAAGGCCCTTGGTGATCTGGCTCCTTTATCTCTGGTCATTCTCCCTTAAATTTTATACATCCACAGTGCTTAACTACTGACTCTTTAGGCTTAGAATGCCCAACCACCTTCATCTCTCACCCCATTCCCAGATTCCCCATGGGGTAAAGTCCTACTCATGTCTTCTTACCCCCAAACCCCACATTGCATTGTGGATGTAAATGTGTTGTAGCCATAATCCTAAAAACTGCCACTATTGGCTTACTCTGTCTCCCCTCTGGATGGAAAGTTCCTAAAAAACCAGGGCTCTGACTTTTCATCTTTTATCATAGCCTTCTGCCCGACAGATACTAGGCCCTTGGTAAATATTTGTGTTATTGTTGGATGAATTAGATTTTAAGCTCATTTATTCTTAATCCTACTAAATGCCATAGTCGGAGTTTGGCCTATTGTTTCCATCTACCAAATCTTCTAATATTTTGATTTTTTAATATTCACTGTAGTATGATGCAGATTTAATGAGCACAACATTTAGAACTTCATTCAAGTCAATAATAAACATGATGAAATAGGAAGGGCTAAGTTCATACCTCTAGGTAATTGATAGGTTATCATTACTACGTCCAGTATTACTGCCACCTGCTACTATCTCACACGTGGTAAACTTACCAGGTAGCAGGAACCACGCAAAGTTCTTTCTATATATATAATTTCACACAATCATCACAAAACCCCATAAATTAAATTCTATTATTACTCTTGATTTATAGATGAAGAAAATGAGACTTAAAGAGATCAATTGGCTTGCCCAAGGTCACATAGCTATTTTGTGGTTGAGCTAGACTTTACCCAGAAATCTATTAATTTACCTTCTTTGGACTGGTTGTTTAACATTTATACAAATTCATATATTCATTCATTTATTGGGAATTTATGGTATACCAGGCCCTGCTAGGCTCTGAGGATACAGTGGAGAATTAAATAGACATAAGCACTTAATTCTGCCTTAATTAATTATCTAGTGTTAATACCTAAATTTTGCCCTTAAGGTATTTACTAAAATTAACATATGCTATCTGCTATTATCTTGACTTATCATCTAGGAATCCTATTTTAAAAATCTGGGATGTCTGGCATGACTTCTTGGTGAAAGTGTTACTGCACAAAAATGGGGTTCTTCTGCCCGATGCACATAAAAAGCCAATTATTATGGCAATAGCTTTTGAGAAAATGGGGTTCTCCTGCCCAGTACACACAAAAAGCCAATTATTATGGCATCAGCTTTTAAGAAAAGAAAAGGCTTTATTGCGAGATTGATCTGCAAGGAGACAGGAGGCATAAGCTCTCAGATCTGTCTCCCCAATTCAGCATTTGGGGCAAAATTTAAGAGGTTAGGGAGGACGCGGAAACACTGGCAGGGAAGATTTTGATTTGGATTGGCTTTAAGCGTTTATGATAAGGTTTTAAACATTTATGGTAAGGTGTGGAAGGGGTTTTAATACCAGATTTTCCTAGACAACGGACCCCTTGCTTCTGATAAGAGTCCAACTTTCAAGTTCTGGTCATGTCCCGGTCCTTTGGTTTCGTGCCGGGGAGAATCTTTCATTCCAGGGTCACTTCAGGTCAAGATTTTGTCCTCTGTGCATGCTCTGGCTATGTGACTTTGCAAATTTTATTGGCTTGTTGATAAGATGGAGTCAGTTTGAACTGGCCCTAGAGGGCCATGGTTACAGAAGCATGCTGGATTTCATTGCTTTCTTTCCTAAGTGCTCATATAGCATTTTTCTGAATACATTTTACCTGAATGTTCAACACTTAGGAAATAGTTAAATATATTATTGCATATCAATATGCTGGAATGTTACACAGCCATTAAAAAATCATGTTTCCAAAAGAATACCTCAGAACACAATTGTTTACCATTTAGTAAGTTTTTTAAATGTCAGCCAAATACAAAACCTTTCTATAATATTATCTCAAATTTGCATATTTGGTCTATTCTATTATTGAAATCTGAACCTTAAATTGTAATACAAAAAAATACATTTAGGTATATGTATGTGTGTATATATATATGAAACAAATCAGTACTTTAACAATAATTATCTCTGTGTGATAGGATTGCTAATTGTTTAATTATTATTTCCTTCTTTATACTTTTATATACTTAGTAAAATATCTATACTACATCGAATTTTATCAGAAATCAATATCAAGTTCACTAATCTGTAGTTTCATGAATTAATCATCCTCATCTCTTTTTCTTTTTGCCCACTTTTCTTATTTTTTTCTCAAGTTCTCAAATACTACTGATGTCGTAATTATTTTCTACAAGTTTGGTCAGTGCCTGGGGATGTATTCATCAAGGCTGTCAATTTAGATTCATTGGAAGCAGCTAGCTGTGCTCTATTTTCTCCTCACCTTTCTGGCCTTTAATTTCATTCCATCATTGACTCTTCCCTTTCCCATATGAAGATCATTATCTTTGATAGTGAACTAGATACAAAAGAGAAGTCAAGTATTTCTATTTTTCTCATCACTTTAAGACCTGAAATATTAAATGGCCAGAAGAAAAACTATAATATCCAAAGAGTAATTCTTTTAAAAATTCTTTTCTATGGTTGAAGTAAAAATATCCCAGTTGTTCTGGGAATTTCTACTTCTCTGTCTTGGAATTAATCCTCAGGAGTCAGCATTTATTATATTTTTCTCAATAGCAATGATACAGTTTTAAATAGAGCAATGTCGAGCCAGAAAGTTGTCAACTTTAAAATGGAATGGAATTGAAATTGAAGTCAATTTATAAAGTAAAAATCAAAATGACTGGGTATCTGGAGACTGACATGGTGCAACAGGAGAGAGGATGATGTAGCGAAAAATGGGGTTGGGCTGATGGAAATCTTGGTTCTTACTCTGGCTCTGCCAATACCTACCTGTGTGACCTGGGCTTCACCTCTCTGGAAAGTATTATCTCAGCTATAAACAAGAGATTGCTGAATGACCTGTGAGATCCCTTTTTAGTTCTAGGATTCTTTTGAAAGAAAGAAAGAGAGAACGAAGAGGAGAGGAAGGAAGGAAGAAAAGGAAGGAAGGACGAGAGGGAAGGAGGGAGGGAGGAACTTGTAGTCTATGTACATGCATGCTCAGGCTTCAATTATTAGGCTAAAGGAAAAAATTAATCCTCTCCAAGTATCTCAAAAGCATAGAGGATGTTTTCTACATGAGAAGGAGCAAATGTTTCAGTGAGGAAACTATATAAGGAGCATGATTAGTATCTGGTGATGGAATGGGTGTGATTTCCTTTTATTGAGATTCTCTGCAGAAGTGTCTTTCAAGCTGCAATTACAACAGGTAGGAAAAAATTTGCGAGGTGTCACTAGGGGAACACTGCACTTAAAATCTCATCACCCTTGTACATTCTTTTTCAAAAGCATTATTTTTTTTTTTTAATTTTAATGGTATAAAGCAAGGTGGTATTAACACCAGTACCACAATCCTTGGGGGCAGATTTGGGAAAGGGAATTATCATTTATTAAGCTCCATACTAGGCAATTTATGTAATTAATCTCATGTAAACTTCATAGCAACCCTATCTAAAATGAGGAGAAAAGTGAGGGTGAGATCAGATATGTATTTTGCCCATGGTTACATCGGGGGTTCAAAATAGTTGCCAATTTCAAAACTCACGTTCTTTTTCCTGCCTCTGCTAGAATTTTCCTAATTAAAAAAGAAATTGAATCAAGCCATGCTGTGGTGGCATCCCACATACAAAATAGAGGAAGATGGGCTCAGGGCCAATCTTCCTCACCAAAAAGAAAAAAGAGAAAAAAAAAGAAATTGCAAATACATAAGTTGTTTGTATATAATGTTTACATACTACATGATAATGAATTATTAATACTCTTGTTTGGTTGGTCTTGCTCTGCCTCCTTGTCATTTAGAGTGATGTTTACCTCCACTTCTCTTTTTATAGGACTACTTCAGCTAAGTTCCACACACATTTGTTAAGAACTTAGTAGTTGCTGTAGATAAGCACTAGGAACACAAAGAAAAATAATTCAAAACCTCTGCCCTCAAGGAGAGTTAGGAGTTAGGCAGAGAATGAATGTGAAAGCATTTTGTAAACTGAAAAGCACTTTATAAATGCAAGGCATTTTTGTTACTGCCATTAGTAAAAGTAGCAATTATTATTATTTTTACACGTAGGACCTAGATCAGGTTTGATGTCCACTTTTTCTTGAAACATCTCCACTAGGAGTATAGCAAGAGCCTAGAGCAATCCAAAAAGAGGCAGTCTTTAGTAACTTTCTGTTTCAGTCAAATGATTTAATGATCCTTGCTGTTAACTTTGAAGATCATTCCTTGCTATTAACTTCAAAGTCAGCAAGTATTTCCCCCTTCTACCGTTGGAATAGCACAAGGGACCAACCTTCTAGTAGAGAAAAGAAGAAAGCTTTTCTTCCCTCCAGAGGTCTGTAAGTGGGTTCATTCTCTTCTTCCATCCCTACCCATCCTCTCAAATTTGCTACCCTGGGAAGACTTGTTAACTGCACATTCTGAGACATGTTTTATTTGTATAATTGGAAAATCACAGATGCTTCAAAAATAATCTTTCTTGTTGTTCTTTTTAGAAGCAATATGTTTGGAGCAGGTAGCTTTGGAAAGCTCATTTGTAGATTTTAGAAATATATTTGAGACTGATACTTTATAATCAATAAGCATATGCAAGAGAATATGAGAGAATCCAGGAAATCTAGCTACTTTCCTGGCTACAAACAAAATCATGTCTCTCTTTCTCTTCTAGGACAATCCATTTTTTGATCTGCACTTCAAGAAAGTGTACAGTTTGGAAGCATATAGTTGTGCTTCTAAATATGCCTTTGCTCGAACTGTAAATAAGCTGAATCATGCATATCTTAAGAAGGACTTACAGATTGTGAATTTTGATTCTACTTACATTAATGATGATTCCATTTGGTCCTCCAACAACAAGGATTGCTTGGTTCTTATGAGAATATGCTTTTATGCTTTCAATCTAGTGTGCTTGTCCCTGTGTCCCCTGCCACTCTGAAGAGGTATAATGTGTTCCTTCATCAGTGTTCCATGAAAATGGTTCTCTAAGCAAATATTGATAGTCCTGACTTTGTTTTTTCCCTCCATCAGTGACTATTATTTACATGAAAATAAAGTGATGCTTTGTGAATTGCAGTGAAATGTGTTTGAATGCAACCATTCAATATTTGGGACTTTTGCCTATGTGTTTCTTGGTAACTTTGTAAAGAGTTGGATGGTTTTTCCTAAATTAGTATTCTACTAAAGAATATCAAGAAGTGTCTTGGAAGGCCTTAATAAATGGAAAGACATCCCATGTTCATGGATAGGAAGACTTAATATTGTCAAGATGTCAATCTACTCAAAGCAATCTGCAGATTCAACACAATCCCTATCAAAATTCCAATGGCTTTTTTTTGCAGAGTTGGGAAAGTCAATCCTCAAATTCATATGGAATTGCAAGGGGCCCTGAAGAGCCAACAATCTTGAAAAAGAACTGCAAAGTTGGAGGACTCATACCTCCTGATTTCAAAACTTACTACAACACTACAGTAATCAAAACAGTGCTGTACTGGCATAAGGATAGACATATAGACCAATGGAATAGAATTGAGAATTCAGAAATAATTCCACGTTCCACGTTCATTCAAAGGAGAAAGAATAATCTTTTCAACAAATGGTGCTGAGACAACTGGATATCCACATGCAAAAAAATGAAATTGGAACCCTATCTTATACCATATACAAAAATCAACTTAAAGTGGATTAAAGACTTGAATGTAAGACCTGAAACCATAAAACTCTGAGAAGAAGACATAGGGGTAAATCTTCAGGGCCTTGGATTTGGCAATGCATTCTATGACATCAAAAGCATGAGCAACAAAAGAAAACTTCATCAAAATTACTTTTGCATCAAAGGACATTACCAAGAAAGTGAAAAACAAACCTACAGAATGCGAGAAAATATTCGCAAATCATATATCTGATAAAGGTTTAATACCCAGAATATATAAAGAACTCCTACAACCCAGTAACAAAAAGACAAACAGCCCAGTTAAAAAATGGACAAAGAACTTGAATAGACATTTCTCCAAAGAAGATATACAATAAGCACAAGAAGAGATACTCAACATCTTTAGTCACTAGGGAAATGCAAATCAAAGCCACAATGAGATAACACTTCACACCTACTAGAATGGCTAGTTAAAAGAAAAAAATAAAAACCAGAAAATAACAAGTGTTGGCAAAGATGTGGAGAAATTGGAACCCTCATATATTGTTTGTGGGAACGTAAAATGGTACAGCCACTGTGGAAAACAGTTTGGTGTTTCCTCAAAAAGCTAAACACAGAGGCTGGCCCGGTGGCACAAGCAGTTAAGTGTGCACACTCCGCTGTGGCGGCCCGGGGTTCACCGGTTTGGATCCTGAGCACACACCAACGCACTGCTTGTCAAGCCATGCTGTGGTGGCGTCCCATATAAAGTAGGGGATGATGGGCACGGATGTTAGCCCAGGGCCATTCTTCATCAGCAAAAAGAGGAGGATTGGCAGATGTTAGCTCAGGGCTGATCTTCCTCACAAAAAAAAAAAATTTAAAAAAAAAAAGCTAAACACAGAATTACCAAATGACCCAGCAATTCCACTCCTAGGTATATACCCAGAGGAATTGAAAACAGGGACTTGAACAGATGTTTGTACACCGGTGTTTATTGCAGCATTATTCAAAATAGCCAAAAGATGAAAACAAGCCAAGTGTCCGTTAACAAATGGATAAACAAAATGTGGTATATCCATACTGTGGAATATTATTTTGCCATAAAAACAATGAAGTTCTGATACATGCTACAACATGAGTGAACATTGAAAATATGCTAAGTGAAATAAGCTACACACTAAAGGACAAATATTCCTTCTTGTGATTCCACTTACATGAAATATATAGAATAGGCAAATTTAGAGACAGAAAGTCAATTAGAGGTTACCAGGGGCTGGGCAGAAGGAGGAGTGGGGAGTTACTGCTAAATAGTTACAGAGTTTCTGTTTGGGATAATGAAAAAGTTTTGGAAATAAATGGTGATGATGGTTGCACAACATTGTGAGTGTAATTAATGCTGCTAAACTGTACACTTAAAAAATGGCTAAAAAGGCAAATTTAATGTTATATATATTTTACCATAATTTTTAAAAATAGTAATGTAATATGCTAAAAATCATTGAATTGTACACTTTAAATGGGTGAATTGTATTGCATGTGAATTATATCCCAATAAAGCTGTTAAAAAGAAGAAAAGGACTACCTTAAGTCTACTAGAAGAAAACATGGGTGAATTTTTTTTTATAAACTGAGAGTGGAGAAAATTCTTAGCTATCACTCAAATCCAGAAACAATAAAGAAAAACAATGAATAATTTAACTACACAAATATAAGAAGCCTTGGGCCAGCCCCAGTGGCCTAGTGGTTAAGTTTGGCACACTCTGCTTCAGTGGCCTGGGTTCGGCTCCCAGGCACGGACCTACATCACTCGTCTGTCAGTGGCCATGCTGTGGCGGTGGCCCATGTACAAAAAGAGGATGATTGGCAGTGGCTGTTAGCTCAGGGTGAATCTTCCTCAGCAAAAAAAAAAAAAGAATAAGACTTTGCATGAAAAAAAACTATAAATAATCAAATGACAAATGAAAAAAAAATTGCAACTTATATAACAATATACTAATATCTTTCATGTCTAGAGTGCTCCTAAAATTGAGGGGTTAAAAAGACCAACAACGCAATTTGCTGAAAAATTAGTAAAATATATGAACAGACATTTCAAAGAAAAAGAATTGCAAATGACACTAAAACTATGAAAAGAGGCTCACCCTGCCCATAATAAGAGGAATTTAAATTAAATCTACTGTGTGATCCTGTTTCTCACCTATCAAATTGGCAAAAATCCAAAACTTTGGCCATGTTCTATTCAAAATGGGAAAACAGTTCCTCTCATTCATTGCTGTTGGAATGCAAAAGAGTACAAATCCCATAGGAGAGGAATTTGACAATGTCTTGGAAAACTACATATACATTTACTCTTTGACCCAGCAATTTAACTTTATTTCTAGGACTCTATCCCAAAGACACTTTAACAAAGATACATAATGACACATGTACAAGGCATGTGACATTGTTTACAAGAGCAAAATATTTCAACTAGCCCAAATATCCATCACAAGAGGACGAATTGAATAAACTATGACATACACCCAGTACAGTACCATGCAGCAGTACAAAGTGGAAAATGGAGAAGGCCTCAGGAGTGCTCTGATTGGAGGCTGTTGGAATGGGGAAGCTGTAGGTGGGCTAACTAGAAGCAGGCATCCTAGGTGACTGGTTAAAGGTACATATCTGGCTTTCTCCAGTTGGTCCTAAGTTGGAAGTGGGGGCCAATATTAGGGAAGCTGTCAGTTATTAATCAAGTGCTGGCCGTTCGGGGCCCATTGCTATAGGGGTTATTATTTGGCTTTCTAGACTGGTTACTAAAGATAGTAGTTTGACTTCCTGGACTGTTTATTGCACATAGTAGGTTGGTTTCCTTGGCTGGTTGTTGCAGGCTGTGGGTCAGAGTTCTGTTTTTAAAATAGTCTGGCCATTGTCCACTTGTATATTCAGAAATATCTTGATTATGGTGATAGTTCCATGACTATAGACACTTGTCCAAATCAATCAAACCTGAAACAATATTCAAAAGTTTAACTGTCAGTGGTAATACGGGTAGTGTTATTTTGACACTATTATAGGATATATATATATCTTATTGATATATAAGATATATAAAAAAGATATATATATCTTATTTTAAGATAAAGCACCTGTTATCATGTTAATGTCATTAGGAACCAAGATCTTAAGCTTAAGAGAGAGAATATACAAGCATAAAATCAAAGAAGTTGAAACTCTGTACCGGTAAATTTAATTAGAAATATTAATATAAACTCTTCTTTTAAAAAATAAGCATGCATATTTTCTAGGTTTGTCCACTGAGACCTTGAAGCAAAGACATCATGAGCAATGAGCATCTTAGCACGAGAGGTGGTCTATAAATATCACTTCCCACTGAAAAGAATGAAGACTGCTTAGAGAAATTACTGATTCTAGGTCTGGGGCAGAAAATGTGCAAGAAGAACATGGGACATCTTGATATACCTGAAAGAAAAGAAGTTATCAAGGTCAACTGGGGACAGTCAAAGGACACAGGAGCCAACTTGAAGTAGCTTCCTCTGGCCTAAGATGGGACAATTTGAGCATAACAACGAAAATGACTATAACAGAGTGAAACACAACAAATATATACAAGTCTGTGAGTTTCATAATACTAAAAAAAAAATCTCATTTGTCACCAGTGGAACATCTGAAAATTGATAAATAAAGGAAAGATTCAAGCATGTATCTTGCCTTTCCCATAGGAACTGTATTTCAGGTAATAGATGATAAGTGGAAGTTTTAAAGAATTCCAAATAATAAATGCAGTAGGAATGATAGAACCAGAAATTTACCATTTTGCAATCTCTAATGAAAGAATGGATTTAGGCAACAATTATCAATGAATGCTAAAACCATTAGGTGGAAGATTATGGGGAACTCTATGATGGAGGGATGAGGCTGACACCACCTAAACCTAATGAGCAATCTTAGTATCACTAAAAGTGAGTCAGCCAGCTTTAAATGCTCATGAGGTGACGTAGTAAGAAGTACACAGCACCACCATTGAAGGAATCTTACCTAAAAAATGAACCTGAATCTAATCAGTCTTCTAGGTCTAGCTACTGAGTTTTAGAAAATATGGGGAATGAAGTACTAAGCTAAACAACACCCAGATACATGATGTGAAATTCTACAGCACCAATGACTCAGTTTCTCTAACAAATCAATAAAAAGGGGGGGCAACATTGTTTATTATTATTTCATAAGATAAAATAGACTTAAGAAGTATAACATCCAAGTACAACATGTGGACCTGGTTTGGACCCTAATTTGAATATATCAAGTATAAAAAGACAGGTTTGAAAGAGGCAGGGAAATTTGAATTTGGAAGGCATT